GGCCAGGCTGGTCCCATCTCTGTTCTCCTTCTGCAAACAGGTGAAGCACTCTCTCATCAGGCAAGCTTCCCTTTAGTGACTATCCAGTGGCTATAAAGCTGAAAGGGTTTTTTAAATGCATTGTTCAGCCTTTCTGTTTTGAGTGTGGTTTTGCTTTTGTTTGTGTTTACCATTTTTTAGCGTGCTAGCTTGATCCTGTTTAGTATTTTTATACCTACTGTTTTGAGCTTTAAATATTGTCTTTTAATGATGTAAGCTGCCTTGGATCCTTTTTAAGGAGAAAAGTGGGGTAAAAATACAGTGATGCCTTGCTTAACGAGCGATTCGTTTAACGACGAATCGACATAGCGATTTAGTTTTTCCAACAGCTGATCGGCGGTTCCAAAATGGCCACCGGGTAAAGAAAATGGCCGCCCGCTGTGTTTTCGCGCCCTTTCCTCGCTTACCAGAAAACTGTTGCAGTTCCAAATGTTTTGGTACTCACATATTCATTTCTTTGGTTTGTATTGGAACACAAAAACAAAAAAACAAAAAAGAAAAGTCAAATCTGATACAATCCCACACAGAAACCTAAAAATGCACTGGCCAGAATTATTGGTATCCTGTCTAAATTGTAAGAAATAACTGCTTTTCAAGCATGTGATGCTCCTTTAATTTGTATTTAGACACACCTCTTAGCGATGAATCCACATAGCGACGATTTTTTCGGAACGGATTATTGTCGCTATGCAGGGCACCACTGTATTTTAATTGACATTATTGGGTCAATGTTAAGTCTTTCTCTTTTCTCACTTTACTTCTCCTACCATTAATATCTTTTTCCACATTGACTTCTCACATTGGCTGAAACCACGAGCTCATCTATCATCAAATAAATGGTCACTGGTAATAAGAGTCCCACATGTTGAAATAAGGAGTTAATAAATGGGTGGGGGGGAAATCACATATTTTTGTTTGTGCCCTGTCTGATGTGCACTCAAGTCAAAAATCTGTTTGGTGGCTTTGTTACTTTTCATTGTAGATGCATTTTGGATGTTCTGCTGCTTGTAATAACTGGTCAACAATTATGAGGATGTTCTCTGTCTCTCTGTAGGTGATCTCCCTCTTTGGTAAGTATACTCTCTTTTCCAAGAGTTACTGGACTGTTTTTGTGGATATTGTGAGGTGAAGCCCTATGTTTAGCTGTGTTTCTCTTTTTGTATAGGTCTTACACAATATCATCTGTCTTTGTGTTAACCTTCTCCATCAAAGAGTTAGTCCTCAATATACAGTCATGGCCAAAAATATTGGCACCCTTGCAATCCTGTCAGAAAATGCAACCCTTCTCTCAGAAAATTGTTGCAGTTCCAAATGTTTTGGTACTCACATATTCATTTCTTTGGTTTGCATTGGAACACACACACACACACAAAGTCAAATCTGATACAATCCCACACAGAAACCTAAAAATGCACTGGCCAGAATTATTGGTATCCTGTCTAAATTGTAAGAAATAACTGCTTTTCAAGCATGTGATGCTCCTTTAATTTGTATTTAGACACACCTGTCGCAAGTAAGAGGTGCGGGCAATATAGTAATCACACTTGCAACCAGTTAAGATGGAGAAAAGCTGACTCAACCTTTGTGTTGTGTGTGACACTGAGCATGGAGAAAAGAATGAAGTGTCAAGAGTTGTCTGTGGATTTGACAGGAAAAATTGTGAAAAAACATCAACAATCTCAAGGCTACAAGTCCACCTCCAGAGATCTTAATGTTCCTGTGTCCATTGTGCACAATATCATCAAGAGGTTTAGAGTCCATGGCACTGTAGCTAACCTCCCTGGACGTGGACAGAAAAGTAAAATTACTGTAAAATTACAACGAAGGGTTGTTTGAATGGTGGATACAGAACCAGATTAACTTCCTAACAAATTCAAGCTGATCTGCAGAAACAGGGTACAACACTGTCAGCTGGCACTATCTGTCACCATCTGAATGAAAAGGGACGCTATGGTAGGAGACGCAGGAGGACACCACTGCTGACAAAAAAGGATTAAAAAGCGAGATTGGAGTATGCCAAAACTTATGTGACCAAGCTATAATCCTTCTGGGAGAACGTACTGTGGACAGATGAGACAAAAGTAGAACTTTTTGGTCAAAGACATCATAGCATTCAAGGACATCATGAGGCATTCAAAGAAAAGAACACAGTCCCTACAGTCAAACATGGTGGAGGGTTAAAGATGTTTTGGGGTTGCTTTGCTGCTTCTGGCACTGGATGCCTTGACTGTGTGAACGGTATCATGAAATCTGATGATTATCCAAGAATTTTGGGGCACAACGTAGTAGCCAGTGTCCGAAAGCTGCATCTCCACCAGAGGTCATGAGTCTTCCAGCAGGACAATGACCCGAAACACACTTCAAAAACCACTCAGAAATGGTTACAAACAAAGTGCTGGGAAGTTCTGAAATGGCCAGCAATGAGTCCAGATCTGAATCCCGTAAAACAGAGGTCCCCAACCCCCAGTCCATGGCCCAGTGCCGTCCGTGCCCTGAGCCGGACCAGGCTGCCAAGACAGACCTCCCGCCCCACCCCACACACGCACTCAGCCCTGCACAGCCCATTTGCACCTGCACCTGCACACGCACTCCGCGTCACCCATGGGAGTGCCGCACTGCCGTTTGCGCATGCACACGAGTGCCCGCCTGCCTGTGTGAGAGAGCACGCTTGTTCGCGCATGTGCACAAGTACGGGGGTGCCCTGCCTTCCCCAGCTGATCTGCAGACCGAAAAAGGTTGGGGACCCCTGCCATAAAACACCTGTGAAGAGATCTCAAAAGAGCAGTTGGGAGAAGGCGTCCTTCAAATCTGAAGGCCCTGGAGCAGTTTGCAAAAGAAGATTGGTCAAAAATTCCAGTAGAGAGGTGTAAGAAACTTATTAATGGTTACAGGAAGCGATTGATTTCAGTTATTTTTTTTCCAAAGGGGGTGCTACCAAATATTAAGTTAAGGGTGCCAATAATTCTGGCCAGTGCATTTTTGGGTTTCTGTGTTGGATTGTATCAGATTTGACTTTTCTTCTCTGTTTTTTTTGTGTGTGTGTTGTTCCAAAGCAAACCAAAGAAATGAACATATGAGTACCAAAACATTTGGAAGTGCAACAATTTTCTGAGAGAAGGGTTCCATTTTCTGACAAGATTGCAAGGGTGCCAATATTTGTGGTCATGACTGTAGCTTCTGGACTCTTTCAATATGCACGGGGATCTTAACCAGGCATATCTCAATGCCAGAGTTGCAGACATTTTTGCTTTGTTTTGTTTTTTGCAGCACAGAATATAGAACGCCTGGCTGAGTGTATCTGCTGACTTGCCAAAGCAAGGATTTCTTGCTGAAACATCACAGCAAGTGTCTGTTTATCCTCTGGCAAGCTTTGCAAGAGGAACTGCATCTTATCCCATATAAAATGATAAGCTCCCATTGCTGTTTGGTAGTTGGCCACTTTAACATCCAAAGCAGATGTCAAGTAAATGTGTCTTCCTATGAAGTCTATCTCGTGTCCTTCTCTATTCATGGGTGTGAATGTGGTTTATCCTTGGATTTAGATTGGGAGCCTTCCATAACTATAAAGTTTGCTTGTGGCTGTTTTAATAGAAAAGATGCACCCTCTTCCTGAACCTTGTACATTTTTCAATCCATTTTGATGTCGGAAGAAGTGAGGAAGGGTTTGCCAGGATTCCTTGATTAAGTCAGACAATGTCTGCAGTAGCTAGATCTGAATAGGCTGTACATTGTTCTTCTTTTTTTTTAAACACCAAATCTATTTTTGGTGGTGACAATCTGGGATCATATTTTTTTAGGAATTTGCCCTTCCTTAGCATCGTGTTGGAGTATGAATGGATATTATCAGAAGGGGACAAAGCATTAGTGTCCCTTAGGAGACATTAGGGAAAACCTCTGGTCTGTCTCGGCTGTTTGAAGGGCTTTGACTCATTCCTACTGCTATTACAATCACTACAAGTGCTATTTATATAATAATAACCTTTGAACTGCAGAGCTAGAAGGGACCCTATGGATCATCGAGTCCAACCCTTCTCAAGGAGGCACAGTGGGGAACTATCTCCCAACCTCTGGCTCTGTAGCAAGAGACATAAGCCACTGTATGCCTAATAATTTTCAAAAACCAGTCTTGAGGCTGCAGAGAACAAAATAAAACTACAATCTTGTGCACTTACATCAGTGCTCGAACTAATAACTATTTTGAGATATTCAAGATATTGAACACAATCATGAAAATTTTATCCAGATGTCAGTCACATATAATTACAGCTACAACTAGAATTTCCAGGTAAAATGATGAATGAAGGAACACATCAAGTATGGAGATCTGCATGGGAGTGGAAGGAGAAATCCATCAATGATGTGTCCAAATCAACCTTAAAACAAAAAGATTCTGGATTCAATTAGTCTACAAGTATTCAGTACCCAATCACAGACAGATAATTCAAGCAGCCACAAGATCAGAGTGATTTAACTTCCTAATGCCAGAGAATTTTAAAATTTGTAATATGCCTGAATTGTGTGATCATGTCTCCACATGAGAAAGTAGAATGCTGCAAACCACATTATCGCTCTTGGTATCTTTCAGCAAGCAAAATCATCAGAGGAAAGAAAATATCCAAAAGGATGTGAGGACTGGGCTACTTTGCTTTAATGCAAAGTCCTTTCACCCATACAAGACAAACTGCTCACTCTTGACCTGTCTCTCCAACTTAACTACAACTTTTCCGTAGCATATTGCACTCTACTCTTCAACATTCCTAAAACCACAAGGAACCATTTCTTTCGACAAGAGCAGACTTACAAGGATTATGGAGAGCAATAGAAAATTGGAGCAGGAGTTCAAGCATTTTCACTGAGGCAAAATCACCTATGGACACATCTTAAAGGTTCAGTGATTCAAAAACAATCCCTCACATTTCTCCGACCCTTCAGCCCAACCATATCCAGACCAACTTACTTACAATATCTAGCCACTGGTGGACAGCTACTGCAACTTGTGTCCCCAAGGGTTTAGTTAACACAAGTACATCTCCTGGTACTGCATTGTCTGGCCTGCAAATAAAGCACCCACAGATTTAAGAAATGGCACGTGCGATGTGATTATTTCCCACCTGCCACCCTACAGAGCATAGGCAACAGTATCAAAAAGCTGCACTTTAAAAAAAAGATTTTCTAAAAGCAATCTGTGGACATCAGTCAGTTTGAGAGGCATAAATTGGGCGAAACTCATCTACAGTATTCAAATGTCTGTGGGTAGCTCACTATATTTGCAGATGTTCAATTTAAAAGAGCTTTTCAAACTATATGCAATCATGTATCTTATTTGTATCAAGCTTCCCTACTAGCATCTCTGCTCTTATAGTCAAAAGGAAATTGCATTCCTTTCAAGACATTTTCTATGTAAAGTGATGGAACCTCAATGTAATCATCACTTTGGTGTGAATACCCAAAATAGCAGGTCATCAAACCTCAGAACCAACAATTGAAATTACAGAAGAATGCATAATGACACAGTCTTCCAAGTCTGGATGGAAAGGAATGCTTTACTTTGTATCATTAATGGTCACTATATGGTACATGGTAACAGCCACTGCAGAATTGTTTGTTAACACAACTGTGCAGGAATCACTGAAACATGTAATTTAATTCCCCCCCCCACAAAAAAAATTAATAACAGACATGATCAATTAGTATCCAGTTGTAGAATTTAACACCAGAGTTCTGCAGTTTTTTAGAAAGGCGTTTTTTTTTTTTTCCTATTTTAATTTTTTCTGAAGTAGCAATCTTAAAGACCTTTACCAGGCAATAAATCCTATTGAAGGCTGAGGCATATTTCCAAGTAGACATGCACAGGATTGCACAATGACATGTATGTCATTAATATCCAAGAACCCAAGCCCAGAGTCAAATGTTTTAATTCCCCACAATTAACATTTTATATAATGGGAAACAATCCCAATTTATGGAGCAGCTAAACCTTATAATCTTTTTCAACCCCTTTTACATTGGACTGAATACTTCAACTCACATTATAAATTCATTAGGCTGACACACTGTTGTGGCTACTCCTCCTAAAACAATCCATGGATTTAACACTGTTTGACCGCCAGTCACTGATGTTCCTGCTTCTTCTGCAGCATCTTTGAATCCCTGGATGATTAAAGGCATTACTTTGTCTCTTTCCTACAGGTTAAAAAAAGTAGAAAAATCCAATGGCTAATCAATAAGGGAAAAAAATCCCTCTTTTATGAGGGCATCAGAAATACAAATGGGCAACTGCTCCATTCATTTAAAGCAGGGAACGACAACCTATAGAACTCTAGGGACCAAGTGCACCCCTTCCTAGATCTTAGAAGGCTACATTCCTTCTCTGCAATCCTCACTTGTCCCCAACAATGTTTTAAATTGGGAACCGGCATGCCTTGGTAGCCATTGAATGCTCTGGTACCAATGTTTAATTGCCCATGAACCCTAGGGAGAGTGTAGATGGGTGTTTACAACCAATTTATTAATTCTCAGAGTGTATGTGGGGTGATAGAACTCTAAGATCCAGGAAGGGGAGGCCTCAATGCACCCTTAAAGCCACATGTCACACACTTGATCTTATAAACTTCCGCCTCAGAAATGTTCCTACAGAATCAGAATGCCATCTTTCTTTACCATTCTTTCAAAACAGTTGAGATATATTTTCCAATAACTTCTACAGATAAACATAAAAAGATCATAACATTTCAGTACATTAAATCTTATACCTTTCTAAAGCTTGGCAAGATTCTTCAAAATAAAGATATTGGTCAAAGGCAGAAATGCATGTGTTTTGCTCAAGGAACAGGCTGTTTCAGGTGGCCACAAACAAAAGCAGAGTGACAATATTTATCATTTCTTTCTCCATTGAAACATGTTGCTGCTCTCTGCCTCCACAAATGGGTTAAAGAACATTCCAATAGCAGTGGAGGAGACGGGGAAGGGGAGCTGAATGGAAAATAGGCAAACATTATTTCCTCCACCTTCATTTGTGGAACTATCTGTTGGATCAGAACTCTTTCTACAAATAGAAAGACTCCAGTTCATAAAATAGCTTCACCGGATCTACCCCACGATAGAGCAAATCAGTGCTATAGTAGTGATGTAAAACTGAAAAAATGTAGGTTGACAGGCAAATATTTAAACTCCTGATCAATGTAAATTGCCTGACATTATGTACATTTCAAAGGGCTGTATGAGAAAAGGTATTCCTTACCCTACTTGAATTCTGGAGTGAGTGGTAAAAGCCTGCACAAAAGTTGTAACATCATTTGTAATTTAATTTCTACAACAAAATTAGATTTCATCTAAACACAATAATCCTGGAATAATAAGAAATAAAACTACCTCCCAGTATGCAAAAGAATAAGACTGTACAGTGGTGCCCCGCTTGACGATGACCCCGCGTCATGGTGAAATCGCTTAACGATGAGTTTTTTGCAATCGCTATAGCGATCGCAAAATGATGTTTCTATGGGTTTTTTTCGCTTAACAATGACTAGTTCCCTGCTTCCGGAATCGTTTTTTCGCTGCATGACGATTAGAAACAGCTGATCGTTGGGTTTTCAAAATGGCTCCCCGTTTTCCGACCTATTTCTGGAAGACAGTGATCAAAAATGGCTTCCCCTATGGAGGATCTTCACAAAACGAGCAGGTATTTCCCCCATTGGAATGCGTTAACTGGTTTTTAATGTATTCCAATGGGTTTTTTACTTTCGTATTACGACAATTTTGCTTTACAACGATTTCACTGGAACAGATTATTGTCATCATGCGGGGCACCACTGTGTTAGGATTTGGAAAAACCTGTAAGCCTCAGATAATGCACAATAAGAAATGAGGAAATGTTTATTCTTGAACACATAACTAATAACTACATCAGAAGAAGAAAAATACTCTAAGGCTTTTTTTCCCTAGGATTGTTCCCAGCCAACAGATTGAAGGAGAGGATCCAGATACAGAAAACATGAACAATTCTTGTAGATGCTTGAAATACAATTTACATTGTTCACTATGCAACATTAATACTTTACAACAAACATGGGTCACATGCTGCCTATTGGCTACCTGTACACCAACCATCATTTATGTGTCGCCCTGCCACATCAATTATGCTGCTGAAATTTGGAAGTGCTGTTGAAAAACCAACCAAATTACTGCTTTCACTTTAAAATGCCATTTTCACAAGGCATCTTTCCTGTGAACTTTGTAAGCAGATTTATGTTTCTGGAAGTGTGAATCATTTATCTGTAAACAAGATGTGCAAGGAGCGTAGGTCCTGTCTAAATAAAACATGCCATTTGTTAAATAAAAGTGAGGCCATTTTACAGCCTAATTTTGTTGGCAAAATTGGACACTACAGAGGAACCAAAAATTAATACATTACCATAGTTTGTTTCCATAATCTTCTTTAAATGAACTTACTCTGTCTGTCATTTTATTACTGATCCCGAGAAGCATCAACATGTTGTCACACTCAGTGACCCCCATGGCATAAAGATCACTAAGAACATTGGCACAGGCTATACGTCCCTGTAAAGGAGAATACAAAAATTTAAAATGCTTTTAAAACACCATCAGAGTACATGCTGCTTTTCCAAATAATATAAGCCAAGGAATTTAAATGTTAGCAACGGAGAGACAGATAGAGAAAATAAAGAGGTGAGTGTAATCAAGAATAGTGAGGGTAAGAATGTGAGACAGTTGTTAACCTGAATTAAATCTTGAAGTGCTTGAAGGTTAAACATCAGTGTTGACCTGGAACTTAGGAGATCTGTCTTTGGCCATGAAATCCCTTTGGCCACAAAAACTCACTGGCTATGGTAACTCACCAGAAGTGGTAATGCTTCTCAAACATCTTATGTACCTCAAAACCCCTACTAGATTATCAAACATTGGGAGCAACATGACAGCACATAACAACAAACACAATACTGCCTTGTATCATGGGCCTCACCTCAGATAATATTTAGCTCTTACTGCTCAGTAGGCCAAAGAGAAACTAGCTTAACCTTATGTACAGTTGGACCATGACTTGTGGTTTTATTTTAAATTTGCAAAGGATCTAAACTAGCCTTAGACTGTCTTTTTTTCAGGTCTTTCTGTTTATCTTGAAACAGATTGATTACCTGCATCTGTCTAAATCTTTTTAAGTCAATTGATATCACATCACTTTGGAATCCACTGTCATCATGAATACTACTAGAAATAGAATTCCTCAACATTTGAATTGATTATCAGAAACCTATTGGTTAGTTACACTGGTGAAAGTGAAATGTCATGAACAGTACCTGCTCTCTTGTTCATGAGTTGCCTCCTGTAACCCTAATCAAGAACTAACTCACACGAGTAGCATGGCAAGTACTAGCAGCAATTTATTAGCTTGCAGCAATTTGACTACAATTTATGCCATTGAACTTCATGTTAGTGTAGTTAATCAACAAGATTCTGGCCACAAAACTTTTTAAATTTTCTGCATTTAAACCTTATTAATTAATCTTCCCTATACAAAGTATTTTTCTGACTGATTAAAACCATAAAATTAAGTTCCACTTCACTGTATTTTTGCGCAATCTTCTACCATCTTTCCCAAACACAACCAGTCCTATTTTATAACGTTATATGATGTGCTGTCAAGTCAGAAGCAACTTCTAGCGTTCCTAATAGGACTTTCTAAGTAAGTGCGAAAATTAAGTAGTGGTTTCATCAGTTCCACTACCTTCCCCTTCCCAGTGCGCTTCCATGGCAGAGCAGGGATTCAAACAAATGTTGCCTGAATCCCCATCCATCGATTTATCTACTACACTGGTTCTTAACCTTGGGTTACTCAGGAGTTTTGGACTGCAACTCCCAGAATCCTTCACCACCAGCTGTCCTGACTGGGGTTTCTGGGAGTTGCAGTTCAAAAGCATCCGAGTAACAAAGGTTAAGAACCACTGATCTACTATATCACACAGAGTTATGGCACTAACTTGTAATAGAGTAAAAAATATGTATTTTCAAGATGCCTTTTAACATATAAATATATTAGGAGCTGCTTTATACTAAGTCAGACATTGGTCTATCTAACCTACTACTGTTTACTGCAGTTGGCAGTGGTTCTCAAATTCTGAAGTTGAAATCTTTCATAAATGTGTTACCCTGAGTTATTTTAATTAGCCTTCCAATAAGGAGGTCTCTTTCAACAATGGTCTTGCTACTGCTTCCTTTGAAGCATGCTGGAATCGTACCCTGTTGCAAGAAGGCATTTATCACTCCTCCTACCCGTTTGACCAGTCCCTTTGTGGCAGGTTTTATAAACCAGGGAGGACATGGGTCTAGCAGAATGTGGAAGTCTTTACCTCTCCAAGGGTTTTGTCAACCTCACTAGGCTAGAGAAACTGAAACTCATCCATAAACAAACAGAAACAAGGTTGTAGTTACATTAAGATTCATTAAAAACAATAAAAACCCCAGGAAACATTCCAGGACTGGCGGGCACCACCTCAGCCATTTAATTTGCCCACACTAAATGTCTCTCAAAGTCTGGACCTCCTCAATTGTTGTTCTCATTTATAAGAAAGGGAAACAAACTGACTTAGCCAATTATAGACCAGTAAGTGTGTTTGATGCTATCATATAACAGTATGCAAGACATCTCCTCCGGATGTTGGAGGTAGGGGTTACTGAGTACCTGTATGTTGCACATATGGATCTCAAAGTTGTATATGATTCCATCCCAAAATATTATTCATGAATAAAATTCAGTATTAGATATTAAGATACTACAGTACATTGAATCATAGACATTTACACTGCTGTCACTTTAAGGATCAGATTTAACATTCATGATAACCAATTGCCTAACTTACCAAATACGGTACTCAAAACCTCAAAAGAATTCAACATGACTAAATCTCAGCCCCACTGCTCTTCAACCTATATATAAATGATGTCATGAAACTTTTATCAGAATTACAATTTTTCCAAGTAAGAGGTACAAAGACTACTGTACTGTTTACTGCTTTCATCAGGTGACACAGTATCTCATACTGAAGTAGTTTCCTGGACCTAGTACCTATCAAAATGTGGTGTCCGGTGTAAACAAACTACATGTGGCGTATCTGATGTCACAATGCATCCAGATGTGATCTCACAAAAGGCAATGTGCATGGTCTTGTGACTGGAAACTGCATATTTTGTTTTTCCCCCACTGACCGGGCTGGTGCTGGGGGTGCTGAGAGAAAAAGAGAGCCAGAGAGCCGCTTCCCTGGAAGAGGTGGTGGCAGGTGCTGGCTCGGGCTTGGAGGCGCTGTTCAAGGACGTGCCGGGAGCGAGCTCCACTCTCAGGCATCGCTCGGCAGTGATTTGGGTGCTCGGGGAACAGGGCCGGCAGTGTGCCTCGCTGGCCAGCTCTCCCCAAAGACAGCGCCTTTTTGCACCCTTCATCTAGAACTGCAGCTTGCCAGCTGGCAGACAGACGGGCCGGCTGCAGTTCTGTATGGAAGGTGCAAGAGGTGCTGTCTTGGGAGAGAGCCGGTGAGCGAGGTGAGGTTTTTTTTTACTCTTGACAGCAGAGGACGCATGGGCGCTTCGGGGGGGCAGGCAAGGCGGGGGCCACAAACCATCATCCAGCGGGCCGCGAATGGCCCCCAGGTCGCATGTTTGAGACCCTTGTTTTAGTATATTGCTTGCTACAGTATACATCATCATAATACAATGACAGTAATATTATGAGCCAAAAGCACCTGAGTTGATGGTGATGGCAGCTGCCACTACCAACACGGAATATGTATCCATACTGTTGAGTCAAGCCTGATGTTAGCATCTACTGGATCCCCCCCCCCAGAAGAGTACTGAATTGAGGATACAGATAGAAGATGCAAGTGTATGTAGAGATATGGTTTGGTTACAAACTGTGCAGATTGGGAATGAAATATATTTCAACTTCTTACATCTGCCCACCTTGGAATTAATGAGAGGAAGTGGCTGTGTTCTCAGCCATGTTTTCAGGCACTGCCTAAGCTCTGACAATACAACAAATACAGGGCAGTAGAAGCAAAACTAGAGTTCCAAGACAAGTAGTAAGGTAAAGGGTCCCCTTGACATTTAATCCAGTCGTGTCCGACTCTAGGGGGCAGTGCTCATCCCAGTTTCCAAGCAGCAGAGCCAGCGTTTGTCCATAGACAGTTTCCATGGTCACGTGGCCAGTGCGACTAGATATGGAATGCCATTACCTTCCCACCGTGGTGGTACCTATTTATCTACTCGCATTTGCATGCTTTCAAACTGCTAGGTTGGCAGGAGCTGGGACAAGCGATGGGAGCTCACTCCGTTGCGTGGATTCAATCTTACAACGGCTTGGTCTTCTGACCTTGCAGCACAGAGGCTTCTGTGGTTTAACTCACAGCGCCACCACGTCCCTTTTCCAAGACAAGTGTCAGGTGGCAAGCTCCATCTGGTTTTCTAGACAGTGTCTTGATGCTATTCAGGGGCAGCATATACCCCAATGCAATCCAGCATATAAAAGGCTGCTAAACTGGATGACATCCCCCACAATATATTCCCTCACCCCTCATTTAATGGGCAAAGTGTCAGACAAGGGATATCCCAACATAAATTCTTATACAGCCATGAAGCTCGTCAGGAGACACTGATGCAATCCCACGCAAACTATCTTAGCTACCTCACCACTCACCAGCTTGCCGTGAGGTTAAAAGGAGACATGCAGACACTCTGTATACACTGCCCATAGCAACTTGGAGCAAAAGTGGAATACAAATAGATGCATTTTATTAATCATTACATTTTAAATGTACATGGCATTGTCTCGACATTAAACATGTTGGATATTATTGTATTTGTTCTTAACATAAATTGGGGTGGACAACATCTGCTCCACAGCACCCATGACGCACCCAAAGTATTTTGGGGGAAAATGGCTCCAAGATTCCCATTGCACTCTTCTGTCACACCTCCAATTATTTAATTTTTTAAAATGTATTTCTGACCACTAGAGGGTGCAAGTTGGCTTTTCAGTTTAAAAACCCCATGTCTGAAAGTTTTTTGTTTTGTTTTCCATTTTGGTATAGGACAGCAGGTGCAAACATCCAAGGTCCACAGGATGGGCATGTATAGCCCTTGGGCCTCTGGAAACTGCCCACTCCTGCCATCAATTATTATCTGGAAACAGGATGTATTATTTGACTTACACCCCACCTTTCTCCCAAAAATGTGGGCTTCAAGGTAGTTACTTGCACTGAATGGGCACAACTCTTTGAAGTTCATGGCATTACCCCACAGACTGAACTCTATATGAAATACAAGAATACAGCCTGCCTATTGAGACTCCTCTGTTTAATGTATCAGTAATTTTGACATTGTTTTGGTTAGGGTGGATTTACATCAAATTGGTTTAAATCACAATTTAAATTTTAAAAAAGTGGATTTTTAATGATTTAAATAAAAACACTGAATTTTAAAATCTAAATCATGATTTAAACCAATTTAAAAAAATTAATCATTGATTTTTATCCACCCTGACTTTGGAGTTCATGAACTATTTTCCTTCATTTAAACAACAGAGACTCAGCAAAACAGCTGTGGGAAATATGATATCAACACTTCCGAATTAAACAGAAGTGGTCAAAACACATGGCTTTATCAACATTCCCTCACAAACAAGGATTTCAAACATGTCCCAGAAACAACTAAATAAGTATTGTTCATTTAGTCTAAATAGCTATAATAGATTACAAGTAATTTCCAAGTTACACACATTAAAAACTGAGTCATCATATACCAAAGTAAACACAACAAACGTTGTTTCCAATAACAAGTAACAGAAACATTTGATACATAACTGTGTGAATGGCTAGAGCCCTCTAGACATCTGAACTACAATCTGCATCATAACATATGGTAGTATTTGTTTGCAGGAGCTGTAATCCAAAGACAGACTACTCCAAGGCTAAAACTTTGGTTGACATTGGTATCTTGCAATTTCCACTACCAATGAAATCTCCTCTTCAAATTTAACAACAGCTTGTCTTTCAAGTAGCAAGAACCACTATAGCACATTATACCAGCTTCAGGCAACATCTACCATTATGTTTAATATACATATATTGATTCTTTTGATGGTGGCAGCCAGTTGTAGAGCAAAACAGCGAAGAGGTCAAGAACTGTTTTGATGTAATACAATTCTAATTCAAAGTATCCCAGACCTACATACAGTGGTGCCTCAATTTATGACCATAATCCTTTCCAGAAGATGTAACATAAGTTGAAATGGTCGTAAATCAAAGCATACGTTCCCATAGGAATGCATGGGAACGCAAATAATCCATTCCAGCCAAATAAAATACCCCCCCCAAAAAAAATAAAAATAAACAGAGCAAGCCCCATGCTGGGACTGTAAAAAAAATCATCAAAAAACAAACAACAATACACCACAGAAACATAAACCCCCCCCAGCCCTGCAAAACCCACCCAGAACAGTTTTTAAAAACCAAAAACCGGCACCTTACCTTACCGGGCAGTCCCAAGCCTCCTCCGATGGCCTCCGTGGGCCAATGCTGCTGCTGCTGGTGCCCGCCACAGTGACCTGCGGAGGGCGTCGAGGAGCGTTGAGGCCTCATGCAGCCACCCCAACAAGCAGCCTCTTTGCCACCAACAATTTAAATTTGCTGCCTTTTCTCGCCACCCTCCACAGGGCCGCTGCTGCTGCTGAGTCCCAGGCCTCGGCATGGGGGCAGAGGACCCCCTGATCCCAGCTCCCAGAGGAAGGGTCCTCCCAGCTAGGCAGAGCTGGGATCAGGGGCCCCCTCGCCGAGGCCCGAGATCCCACCATCAGGTGTGGGAACACCCCCGCCATCGCCTCCCCCCGCCACACCATCCCTTTCCCTAACTGTTCAGGCGAAAGAGCTACAAAGAAGCAGCCTTTTCGCCACCAACGGTTTGAATTTCCCGCTTCCCCCCTGCCCTTTCCTGGTTGTACAGTAACTCGAAGCTCCGGCCAAAAGTCAAAGCAAAATTTTGCGGCCGGAGCTGGTTGTTACTCGAGATAGTCGTAAGTAGGGATGGTCGTAAGTCGAGGCACCACTGTAATTCAAATCTAGATCTCTGTTTCTAACGGGGAATAAAACTGCCATCACGTGACTCTTGAACTTGTACTGTTCCAATAATTATTGAAAAAGTTTAGAGTAGACTCAAATAATACAAGTCTATCATTGATCTTTAAGGCAGCCAATAACCCCCTCTCCTCCTTTCAGCCCCCATCCCCTGACTCAAAATAATATTCAGGCAACTTACCATCATATATGGATCATCCACAATGGGATAGATATAATCTGTTGTCTGAACCAAAGACAGTCCTCCATGTCTTAAAGGGATAACACAAGTATCCATTCCAATTCCTGCAAAGATAGGGCTACAGTATTAATCAATAATAATAACAGTATGATTGACACCTTCTGAAATTGACTCCATCCATACCTTCCTCATTATATAAAAATACCCGTTCTGCATTAAGGAAATCCAAAAGATGCCCACAAAGCAACAGTTTGGTTAGGCAAGAGCTACCACTCCCTTCATATACTGTGCCTCTTACTTTTGAGGGTAACCAAAAACTACTTACCAGGATTCGGTCCTTGTTTCTATTAATAATATTTAATCTTACTCATTCTTCAAGATGTTCAGAGCTTTCTCTTATTGACCTTGGCTAGCCTCTTACAACATCCACTTTATGTGGATGTTTATGTCAAGAGGCATCCCTCTCTGGGCTCATGCACAAGGCTTAACTTGGCAGAGCACACAGAAAAAATGTTCACAGAAAATGTGCAACATTTAAGAACAACTTTATAAATATTATATTTTTTCCATGTTTTGACCACAGTCCCAATACAGTTTACAAAAAAGTTAACAAACAGTAATTTTAGCAAAATGTTATATTCTACTAATTTATAATTACAAAAGAAGCACATACAAATCCGTAAAGAAACAGGAGAAACATTCAATAGGATTTTGCTAAATGCATGGAAGATATTATCCCGACATCAAACAGTCCTAGCGGCTGACTCTCCTGAAGGCAGCAAAGCGCATAGGGACAAAGGTGCAAACCATTTCCTGCCTAAGCCCTATTATCCTAGTTGCACTACTGAACTCTCTAGGACCTGGAGTAACCTCATTAAAAAGACATACAAATCTCAAAACTGACTCTTACAGTTTTCATAAAATTTACTTCAGTCCTTGTTTTGAACACAATTCAGAAATAATGCAAGGCCTACAGTATGATGTTGTAAATGAAACAACATTTAAAAATATGCAACTTCAAGTCTATTTGTTAATTACTATTTTGTTACCATAAACCACTATATACAGTGGTGCCTCGCAAGACGTTAATTCGTTCCGTGAAAAACGTCGTTCTTGTGAAAACATCGTCTTGCAAAATGCGGTTCCCCATTGGAATGCACTGAAATCTATTTAATGCGTTCCAATGGGGAAAAATGGTCATCTTGTGAAAATCGTCCATAGAAAACATGGTCTTGCAAAGCGCCACAGCGATTGCAAAAACCAATCGTCTTGCAGATTAATCATCCCGTGAGGCAATCGTCTTGTGAGGCACCACTGTATATCATTTATTGTAATACAGTGGTACCTCGCAAGATGAATGCCTCGCGCAATGAAAAGCTTGCAAGACGAAAGCGTTTTGCAATGTTTTTGATGACTCACTACACGTGTCTTATTGTGAATTTTTTGTCTTGCGAAGCGTGGTTTCCCATAGGAATGCATTGAAATTTAATTAATTGTTACTATAGGTGAAAAAAAAAGTCAGAAAAAGTCACTTACCAGGTAGGCCAAGCCCCGCTCCTCATGGTGCCTTGGTAGTGTCTGTAACAACGGATGTTTCAGTCCGGACATCCGGGAGAGGAGCTCGAGCTCCTCTTCGGTCTGAAGGCCCGTGTGCCGCCCCCCCTCTGCCCGCTGCATTCATCTGCTTCTGCCTCTTTGGCACATGTGGGGCTTCTCCCCTGGATGTTTGAGTCCAACTGGCAGAGCGAGTGAGTCACCTCTGCGCCGTGGCATTGCTTCTTTCCTGGCCAGCTAGACCTCACCGCCACTGCAGGGCAAGGATGGTCCAGGCTGGCTTTTGCCTCCTCAGGGGGCTCCCCACGGGCAGGAGGCATGCAGCCTGCAAGCCAATGTCACAGTGGCTTGGCCAAGCTGGAGGGCCCAATCCACCACAGGGGACCCCACCTCCTCCTCCTCCTCCCCCCTAACACAACAATCTCCCGGGCGGGGCCCCATGGATCCCGGGGGCGCTTGCCCGGAGCAGCTCCATGAAAAACCGGGACCGGCTTTACAGCACTTGCAAGGCGGTGAGGACTTGCTTCTCCTTAGCACGCATTCCCGCACTGCCACCACCGGCATTCCAGGCCATTGTTACAGACACTCTTTGGTCTCTGGGGCTACCAAGACACCATGATTAGCGGGGCTCAGCCTACCTCGTAAGTGACTTTGTTCTGACTTTTTTTGCCCATAGAAACACATTAAATGTCAATGCATTCCTATGGGAAATCGTGCTTCGCAAGACGACACATCTCACGGAATGAATTATTTTTGTCTTGCGAGGCACCACTTGTGTGTGTGTGTGTGTGTGTGTGTGTGTGTGTGTGTGTGTGTGTAATACATATATTACAAAAATGCTACCCTGAGCCCTTCCAGAACTTTGTCAAGGGATATAACAGACTTCTGGAGGAAGGATGGGGTATACAGTGGAACCTCTACTTACGAACGTCCCTACCTACGAACATTTCAACTTACGAACAGCTCCGTTCGCAAAATTTTGCCTCTACCAAAAACAGCCGGAATGGATTAATCAGTTTTCAATGCATTCATATGGGAAATTTTGCTTTTACTTACAAACATTTCAACTAACAAACATCTTCTGGGATGGATTAAGTTTGTAATATATTAAATAAACAAGAGTAAGAATAATGTATTGCCAACTGAGCAATAAATGTTCTTCACTCAGAAAAGAAAATGTGCATGTCTTTCTCAACTCAAATGTGCACAGCAGTTTAGGTTTCAAATAACTTAGTCACTTGTGGCAAGGGTGTTATTGAAGCACTGTATAGCTGAAATAAAAGATGGTGACAGTAGGATGACCAAAATTAAGTAGGCCAAAGACAAGAAACTAAGTTACAGCTTGCTTTAATTTCTGGCTTTATAGATACAGCACCATTCACAACAACAATAATAATCAACTGAGATCATGTCAATTCTTTTCAGGGTTTGCAAGGTAGAGAAAACTCAGAAGTGGTTAACCATCCCTTCTTCTGGAGATGACCTGGGACAGTGCAGCTTGCCCAAGGTTACACAGGTTGGCTCTACATCCAAGAGGAACAGTAGGAAATGAAACTCTCATTCTCTGGCTCCACAGCCAGATATCTAAACCACTGAGCTATCCAGCCAGTTTCCATACATAATATTATGAAATATAACATAAAAACTATTGAGCTACTTTCCTTTATCTCTGGCGTTAATTTTAATCCTAAAGCAATGGTGAGAAGCATCATTAAACAGGACCCAGGACAGCATTTGCTAGTGCTAACTAACCCATACATTTCCTTGCAGGGTCCTAGAATCTAACCCCACAATTTCATAACTTATTAAGAAATAACTAGTTCAAAGTACGTAGTTGCTGCCCTTGTTGGTATGAGGTGAGGCTATCCCTGTACAAGCATAATATGCTTGATAGCACTTCTGATTTGTCCAGAATACATTTGACGTAATTCTAATTTGTCAAAATATGAAGACTTTTCATAACGAGAAAGCCTTCACATTCAGACAAATCAGATTTATGTCAAATATATTATGGACAAATCAGAAGTGCTATCAAGCATATTATGTCTGTACAGGGATAGCCTCACCCCATACTCTTAACCTGCTCGTACTCTCTTAACTTCTTGATCTCCCTCTTTCTCTTCCACAGCTCTATTTCTACCTCAAAACGACGCTCACCGTGGGTATTTATACTTTCCTCCCAAACTGACAACTCCTACTCCACCCCTTTCGCGCCTTCTTGCTCCACCACTAAGTTAACATCAAACCTCCCGCTCGTTCGTGTCTCCTTTTCTGTGGTCGTGCTTTCCTTTTGGTCCTCTCACCCTTGCCTGTTCTCTACTTCCCTTCCCTCTCTTGGTCCTTCACTAGCACACTCTCCAGCAGTACTCCTTCACACATGCCCCCCCCGACGAGTGGGCCGTCTCCTCTGTTGTCGCTTCATCTTCCCATTTCCCCTGTCGAGAAAAATAATCGGCATTAGCATGTGCCAATCTTTTCTTATACCTGACTTCAAAGGCATAAGGCTGTAAACTTAGTACCAGCGGGTAAGGCATGGATTACAATCCTTCATTCTATTTAGCCATTGTAAAGGAGCATGGTCAGTGATCAAGATGAAAGGTGCCCCTGAAAGATAATACCGCAGGGTCTATATTGCCCATTTGGCAGCAAAGGCCTCCTTCTCAATGGTAGAATATTTTTGTTCCCTCGGGAACAGCTTCTTACTTAAATACATTATGGGATATTCCACTCCCTCATAATCTTGAGCCAATACAGCTCCTATTCCACGCTCTGAGGCATCTGTTTGTACCAAAAAGGGCCTACTAAAATCAGGGGTGTACCTGCTGGGTAACTCACTGACAATGGTTTTCAATCGTTCAAACGCCCAGGGGCCTTTTTGCGTGTTAAATTGCTCAAAGGCGCCGTGATTTCTGCAAAACTGGGAGCAAATTGCCTATAGTAGCCGGCTAAACCTAAGAACTGTTGCACCTCCCTCTTATTCTTAGGTGCTTTCCAATTGATTATCTTCTCTACCTTCTCTGGCACGGGTTGTATTTTTCCTCGATCAATTTGATATCCTAGGTAGGTTACTCCCTGCCTCGCCACTCTACATTTTCTGGGATTAACCATAAGGCCAGCCTTCCGTAGCTCTTCCCATACTGCCTCCAGATGTTTTAAGTGGTCTTCCCAGTTATGGCTATAAATTAGGATATCGTATACAGTACGTAGGCACTGGCAAATTGCTAGACAGTGGCTAGTACCCGGTCCATCAACCGCTGAAAGGTGGCTGCGGCGCCGTGCAACCTAAAAGGCATGCGTGAAAAATGGAACAGCCTCTTAGGTGTCACAAAAGCTGTCTTCTCTTTGTCCTCTGCCCTCAGGGGAATTTGCCAATATCCCTTTGTGAGGTCTACAGACACTAGGAATTTGGCCTGACTCAGTCACTCCAACAGATCATCTAGTTTTGGCATAGAGTAGGCGTCAAATTTTGACACCTCATTCAACTTGCGAAAGTCTATACACAGTCGCACCTTACCATCAGCCTTCAGTACTACCACTGGGTAACTCCTCC